TTCGATGTTAGGTCATTCCACACTGTATAGTTTGTTTCGTTGCTAAATTGTTCAACTAATTTTAGGAATTCTGTTGTGGATGTGAGACCCGCTTGCGCCTGAAGAAGAACAATGTTTAAAATTGGAAAGTAAACTGGAACTCTCGGCGAGTTTTCTAATAAAGACTTTCGAGAAAGAAAGATAAAAGCTCACACGATCAATTACAGTCCAATAAAGGTTCTAGCGATAAAGAACTTTTTGCAAGCGTAGGCTTGTTACAAATAGCGGATTTTACGAGAATATGAAATGAGAATAATTCCATAAAAGTCCTAATGTTTGTAGAAATAATTTAAGTTGTAAAATGTATCAAGAGATTCTTTAACGAAAGCCGTCTACAGGTGGACTCATCAACATACCAGAGCGAACAGATCACTCTGCAAACCCAATCTGTCCCTTGGTAAAAGACTGTTGTCCTTTATGGCCGGCAGGAGAAGCTCCAACATGTCAGACGAGTACTGTACTCGGTAGAAACCAACTTGGCCTGGATTTAGCTGCAAAGAGAGAGATTTCACCCTTTACATGTTAATCACTTCATTTCTACGAAAGCTCGAAGCGATGTGAGTTCGTCATAAGTTATCCCTCCCGACCCCCCCCCCCCACCCCACCACCCCTAGTATATTCGTTGGTACCCATCTGACTGACTGCGAAGCACAGTTATCCGTCATTCGATTATTCATACAGGGTTAGAAATCTGATTCCTTGATAAATAATAAGACGATCAACGTATAACGATTACCAATTAACGATTGACATATAACGATTACCATCTAACGATTAACGTACAACGATAATCATTTAACGATTAACGTATAACGATTATCTGAAAACGATTAACACATAACGATAAACATGACTGAAAATCACTGATCGTAATTTAAGGCAATTCTTAAAAATTCACCTTAATCCACTGATCTTTTCCAACTCCACTGACTGTTACTTCACAGGTTTTATTTTCTAACAATGTTTCAACTGCGGGAGTTAAGGGACTGGTACTAGTGCAAACAGTGATCGGTACTTTCCATTGGGAAGAATCTTACAAAAAAACGAAAAAAAAAGTACAAAGCACGGGTAAGTAAACCGCTAATAACGAAATCCAACAGTTTATGTAAATCAAGAATTGAGAACTCTCTTTTAATCTTATTTTTCCGGACAACGAAACTTAAGGCTCGTTCACTGTGGCCCTGCATTCATTCTATATTTCCCCTTTTAACATGTATTTATACATGTTTATCTTAATTATTGCGTTTTCTTTGTCGTTGAGGATACTTTAAATAATCTAGAAGCTTCAACAGACAAGATAACATCTGCACTTCTCTGCTCAGGAAATATTTTATATACACCAGGGTTTATTAATTACAATTACCTTCAGTTGTTCCATCAGCCGAAAATTTGTTCTGTGTTATGGTGACCACCACATCTTCCCCTTTCTGAAAAGAGAAATAAAAGAGTAATCAGGCGTTTTCGTCTCGCGTGACTGCTAGCGCTCATTACAGTGGAATAAGGTTGTGTTTACAGAGATAGTCGATTTTGTTATCAAAAAGGTAAAAAGGTTAATAAGTAGCTTTACTGATCCACAATTCGTCTGCGCAAAGTTGTCCGGAGCACAACTAGAACTAAGCCTGATTGAGTTAGTGTGCCAATGCAAAGCTTGCCTAACTCTAAGAACCCAAGCACGTTATCAGTTAACATGAATGCCGCATATAGGTCATTAAATCGTCAACTCTTGTTGCAAATGAGACCTCCCCCCCCCGCTTAAAAATTGTTTTTTCCTCTAGCCATGGCGACCGAAACGATCGCAACTTGGTAAGCTTAGTTCTTACCTGTTCAGCGGTAACAGACAACACAGGATATCCCATTTGTTTGGTCCATGTTTCCATAACGTCTGCAACAGGCTTCGAACTGGCGTGAGACAGGCTGGCCCAGAGGTCCTCTTGGGAGAGTGAAAAAAATGTAATAATAATGGTAACGATGAAATAATTTTAAGAAATACTTTTAGACCCCCATAATAGAGCCATAATGTTTTTACAACTCTGAACAGAAAAGCGCGCCGATAAGGGCACAGGGCTTACATAAAACAAATAAATAAAGGAGATATTCGTTTCCATAGAAACTGGTGCTGCGTCGGAAGGGGGTATAACAAGATAATTTGGTTTTATTATCAGGGTTGATATTGTAAATTGGCCACCGTAAAGAGT